GGGATTCTAGGCAGGGGCTCTACCACTGAGCCACGCCCCCAGCCCCTGAAGAGAGGATTCCTGTCAGGGAGGGCCTAGTGCTGAGCCACACCCCCAGCATTGCTGGAGTAATTAACTCTTGATTAGGTCTGCTCCACAATGTTCCCAGCAGCCTGCCTCTCCCAGGCTGCTAGGGTGACACAGGAGACAAGGAAGCCATCGTCCTAACTGCCATTCCTCGCCCTACTGAGACCTTAGCCTCTTGACCGGAACTCCCTCCAAGTGACATTTTCTCATCCTATAGCTCAAGCGGAACACAGTGGTGGCGGCCAGACTCCAGGTGGAACCTTTACTACTAAACTAGGGTCCGGGAAGTACTGATCCATCCCACCGAGGGAGTATATTTTGGTTCCCAGAGTTTTAGTACAGAAGCCCTGATTTGAGAGTCATGCAGCTAGGCCAGGCCTCGGCCCCGCGCTGCCAGTTATGATGGGTGCTGGGGCCCAGTAGAGGAAGGTTGCTCAGTGTGGTGCGTCAGGAGAAGGGACAGATAACGGGGTCTGGTGACTTTCCGTTATAGAACTCCTCTAACTAAAGCAGCACCACTGTCATCAATTGTGCCTGCCTGCGAGAGCCCTCCTCCATCTCGGTGACTGTGGGTCTTCCCTCACAGAACGGATAAAGGTCATTTGTGTGCAGTTCTGCTCTAACTGCGCTTGCCCTTTGGGGGTCTCGGGGAGACTGAGTATATGGGATGTGGAAGGCTGACAGGAGGGGGCCCATCTATGTGGCTATGGGGAAGCCATTACCCACGCTAGACTTCTTTTGGGTCCTCTATACTTCTATCCATAATCCCTCCCTGTAAGTTTGGGAACCTCACTGACTCCCCAGGGGGAGCTTTGGTGGAAGTGTTCTTTGGTTTATCATTGGGACCTTAGGACAGGGGGTAGATGTGACATCCGCTCAGGGGAGGAATTCTGGTAACGCTCCCAAGTCTATCTTGTGGGCACTGGGTAAGCTTTCGGTTGAGATGATGGAAGCACTGGGAGGGACTGAGGGTATCATAGTCACATGGGACTGGTCTGCCTTCTCCTTGTCTTGGCCTAGGTTCGCAGGGTGATCCGAAGAAATCTTATTACTTGCAGAGTTAACTTTGGTCCCATGTGATAACTAGTACTCCTGATGACCTCATAGGGTGATCTGTCCTCCAGGATCTCCTGCTGTCTTTTAAGTGGCTGCAATCTTAGGCTGTGGCAGACCCTCCCCCCTTCCTCTTTCCAGTTGGAGACTTAAGAGTTGAGCAAGGTGCCTGCATTATCTTTGTACCGTCATCCTTGAGGGTGACTGAGCTGGCTTAGCTAGCTCGACACTCTAGGAATAATATGCCCATGTGCAGAGGCAAAGGGGAATGTGACCCAGCGTGTGAAGGACCCCAGAGCCTTCTGGGACCTGACATCAGCGTCTTCACTTGATTCCTGTGACCCTTCTATCATCCAGGCTACACAGTGATCTTTTAGCACTCAGATACCAGTGGGTAGGGTGGCTCATGCCTGTGGCTCCAAGACAACAACAACAAACGGACAGAAGCATCTTAAGGAAGGGTACAATTCATCCCAATGCGGACAGATGTCATAGCAACAGGACTCCCAGGCAGCCGGGAAGCTGTCGTCTCGGATGATGCCACACACATCCTCAGCCCTGTAAGTCTTCCTCAGTCAAACCTGTCTAGAATCCCAAAGGCATAACCAAAAGTTTATTACTTTTATTATATATTGTGAGTGCATACATAGTCAAGTGCATACCGTGAAGTGAAGCCAGAGCGAGTCTGTTCTCAACTTCCACCTCGTGAGTCCTGGGGCCTGAATTTAGGTAATCAGGCTTGGTCACACTCCCCCTTGCCCACTGGGCTGTCTTGCTGGCCCCTCCTACAGGTTTGTTTACACGATGATTCTAAATTTCAAGATGAACCATTATGGAAGCTGGAGAAACGGCTTGGCAGTTAAGAGCCTTACTGCTCCTGCAGGGGACTGGAGTTCAGTTCCCAGCACCCACTTGTGGGGGGCGGGGGGCTCACAACCACCTGTAACTCCAGCTCCAGGGGACCTAACCCTCTTCTGGTCTCCAAAAGCACCTACAAATATGTGCCCACACAGACATGCAAATAAAAATCTTTAAAAATAGGAAAAATTAAAAAAAAAAAAGATTGCTACAGAGACCGCTGAAAAATGGCGAGGTGCAAAGCGTTCATTGTGTTTTCAGTTACCTGTGTGCCCAAGAGAGGTTGCACTGGTACCCCAAGCTCCTCCCCAACCTTTACACACCTTCCTGCTCCCTGAGTCCTCATCTAGAAGGCCTCATAAGGACGCCAGTGCCGGCCCACCCTGGGGTCCTGCAGCAGCAGCCCACTTGGACTCCTAGTCCCATTCAATCCGTCCCACGGAGCCAATTACAAGAGGCTCTCCCGGCGCTGGGGCAGGCGCCAAAACTCTCACCATGGAAGCCGCAGGCACGGCTCCTAGACTGACGCATGCGCACAGCTCGCGGTCTCCCTAGGCCTTGCCTGCGCCTGCGCAAAGTCATCCGGCCGGCTAGGGGGCGCGGGCCAGGGGCTTACTCTGATTGGCGGCGGCTGAGTGACCCGGAAGTGGTCGTGCTTCGGGGCTCTGTGGGTGGAAGGCGGCTGCGGGTTAGTGTCTGGGAGCGAGAGCGCGGCGCTAGGATGAACGCCCCTCCGGCTTTCGAGTCGTTCTTGCTCTTCGAAGGCGAGAAGAAGTAAGTGGAGGCCGGCTGAGGCGGGGACGGTTGTGGCCGTCAGCTCGGGTGGAGCGCCGCGCTGCTCCTGCCTGGGGAAACCGAGGCGGGCTTTGCTTTAGAGCATTCTGTTCTGCTCAGTGCTTGTCTGCCCAAACTTGAGGCAGGGGTGCGAAGCATTGGCGAGTGCATGCATTTTGCAGTGGGAAAACGGAGGCTCGGGACATTGAGTGACACTTGGCTCCAGACACTTGGTCCATGATAGCAGCTGCGAAGGGACAGAGACACAGCTCCTTACCCTCCTCAGCAGCCTGAGGGTTTCCCCTAGCTTTTCAGGGATCCCGACTTAGGCTAAACCCGGGTGCGTGGCTCCACGCTAAAAAGAATTTCAGGACTCTCCGGTTTAGTGAAGCAGGATTGGTGGTTTTTATTAAAGATATTTTAGTATGGGCTTAAGCAGGAGGGTTCAGAGAGAGAGAGGCGCTAAGAAAGTAAGACACTCCCAAGTTGGGTGTTCGAAGAGAGTCGGGAAAAGTACAGTGTACTCGAATGGGTACAGGCCTAGAGATTAAGCATCTAATTGCCTTTTTGTTTTTGTTTTTTCCAGATAGGGTTTCTCTGTGTATTCGGTCTGGCTACCTGGGAACTAACTAGCTTTGTAGACCAGGCCAGCCTCAAACTCAGAGATCCACCAGCGTCTACCTGGGATTAAAGGCTTGAGCCAGCTTGTTCTGTCTTCATGTTTGTCTTAATGGTAGCCAAGATACACCCTTTTAGTTTGCTAAGAACCCTTCTCTCTTGTGTGTTCCCCTTCTTGGAAGCCAGCTTAGTCCCTATCTCGGGGGAAAAAGTTTGGAGGTGTTGTGTCAGAAAGCGTTCGTAGACCCCAAAAGACCACCAAGGAGCTGTATCCGATGTAATAGCATTAAGGTCTCTTTATTACAAGCTTGGGATCGCCTCCAGCCCAACCCTGATACAGCAGGACAATAAGGGAAGGCAGAGCAGCCTCAAACCCGTTTTCTAGCGAATGGGAGTGAAAGGGTATCAAGCCTGACAAGTCTCTTAACTGAATGTCTATTGTAAGCTGACAGGTGGGTGCTTTAAAGGAAGACCAAGAACAATCACAAGCGGTCTGAAAGTACATGTGAAACAATCAGACTAATCCTTGATTAACGGTTGCTAAGGAGTAACTGTGGGGTATGGGCCAAGGACAAGTCGTGGAGTCCTTCCTGGCACTTGGGTGCAGCTTGGGTGCAGCTTGGGTTCTGCTGCAGGCCAAGTTCTCAGGCTTACTTTTCTTTAAGAAGGAGGGGGTCCCAAGATGGGGTAGGGTAGATTTGGCCTCTCAGAGGTATACCCCAGTGGTAGATTGCTTACCTAGCATGCCCGGGGTTCATTTCATCCCTGTATTAATCAGTCAATAAATAATGAGGTTCCTCAAGGAGATTCTCCTCAAGGAGTTTGTCTGTGTAGTGTACAGTGTGCACTGCGGACCTGTAACTGACACCTGTCATTCCTGAGCGACTTCTATTCGGGGGTTTTGTTCTTGACATTCAATAGCTACTTCAGCCTTCCTTGGGGGCATATTCTCAACTGAGAGCCCTGTCATCCCTTGGGCAAGAGCATTTGGCCATGTCTGGAAACAGTTCTGGTTGTCCCAAGGAGGCTGCTATTGGCAGCCGGTGGGTAGAAGCAAGAGATGCTGTAAACGACCCTGGTTAGACAGCCTCTCAGAAAAGGAGGATTGGGTCCAAAATGTCCATGTTCTGGGCTGGCAAGATGGCTCAGGTACAGGCACCCACAGGCAAGTCTGATGATGTGAGTTCAATCCCTGGGACTACTGTGGTAAGAAGGAGAGAACTGACAATTTATAGGTTGTCCTCTTTTCTCATACAGGTGTGGACAAAGTAAGAAATGTTTGTGTACTGAGTTTGAAAAGTTCTGCTTTAGAAAAAAAAAAGGAATAATCCTTAGCTGGGCGGTGGATTTTAATCCACCTTTAATCCCAGCACTTGGGAGGCAGAGGCAAGAGGATCAAGGCCAGCCTGGTCTACAGATCAGAGTTCCAGGATAGTTAGAACTACATAGAGAAATGCTGTTACAAAAAACAAAAAAACAAAACAACAACAACAACAACAAAAAAACCCAACAAAGACAAAGCCTGCTAAGCAGATGCTTCCTGGTTTATAAATAGGCCGTCACAGGGTCGAGGTGGTCTTTTGTTTGCTTTGTTTATTTTTTTGTCATGCTGGGGATTGATTGAACCTAGGGTCTGGCCCATGCTAGGTTAGTGCTCTATGCTAAGCTACACTCCAGCTCCCCCCCAACCCCCTTTACAGTTTTTGATAGGTTGGGAGATGGCTCAGTGGGTAAAACAGTCGCTGAGGACTTGTGTGTACATCCCTAGAAGTTGTATAAAAACTGTGTTGAGTTCTGCTTCCAGTGCTCCTCCAGGGACACAGGAAGTGGAGACAGGAGGCTCAGCTAGCGTGGTGTATCCAGTGGCAAATGAGACTCTACCTTAAGCAAAGAGAAAGACCAAGATGAGGTTTTTCTCTATCCTCCTGCCTCAGCCTCCCAAGTTGCTGGCATTACTGGTCTGAACTACCAAGCAGGCCTGCCTTTGTTTATTGTTTGAACGGTGGGAGTGGTGGAGTCGAGACCCAGAGTGTAAGTATATACTTACATAAGTATGCATGGGAGGTAAATGGTTGGCCACTGAACCATGCCAGAGCTCTCAGAGTCCTTTATGGGTGAGCAGACTGAAAAAGGCTTCCACTGTAGCTCAGCGGTCAAGGGCTCTGCTTAGCACGCTCAAAACCCAGAGTTCAGTTCCCTGGGGTAGTGGGGCTTGCAGAATGATGGACCTGGGCCTGTCTTGATTGTTAGGGGATTAGGGGTTAAGTGTCTCCTGGTCTCCCCCTCATCCCCCTAAGTTAGGGTTTCTCTGTGAGGCCCAGGCTGGCCTCAGACTCAAGAGATCCACCTGCCTCTGCCTCCTAGATGCTGGGATCAAAAGTGAGCGCCACTACAACTAGTTGGTTCTTGTCTTCTAAGAATTTAGTGAAGAGCTAGTTTAAAGGAACTGTTCATCAGTGGGAAAGGGCTATGTACTTAGTTTCTGAGATAGTGGGAACAGCCCAGCTGCAGTTTCAAGAATGTGTGACCACAAATGGGGACACTGTGACCCTCAGGCCCCTGGCTGGCTGAGGCTAGTATCACAAGATTGTATGTGGGCTTGAGCTATTACCTCTGTCTTTTTCTAGAATCACCATTAACAAGGACACCAAGGTGCCTAACGCCTGCTTGTTCACCATCAACAAAGAAGACCACACTCTGGGGAACATCATTAAATCGTAAGTCTCCCCCAGCCAGGGGTCCCCTGCCAGTATCCGCAGGGCTCTGTAGGCTGAGCACGTGTCCTGTGACAGTGTATTCTGTTCTCTCCTCTCTGCTCCAGATACTTTTTCCAACCTGGTCTGACTGTTCTGTTCACAGAAGCCTGTTCTGTTCACAGGTTTTCAGACCCAGGGTCTCGTGCAGCGTGGGCTGGCCTCAGACTCACTGTGTAACCGAGGATGACCAGATTATGGCTCCTGATTGTCCTCACCTCTGCCTTCAAGTGCTGGGCTCTCAGCTGCGTGTCGGCTGTCCTGTGTATCTAATGTGAGACTGTTCAGGGAGCCCCAGCAATTGCCTCTTGGTCTTTTGGTTCAGATCAAGTCAGGGAGCTCTGGCAAAGCAGGATTTCATTTTAATGGACATTAAGAGGCAGGTGCTAGTATTGTGGTAATTCCAGCACTTTGGGGGAGAGAGGCAGAGGCAGGGGGAGCACTTAAAAGTTCAACGCCAGCCTGATTTATACAGTGAGCTCCAACACAGCCAAGAGAAACCATGTCTAAAAAAATAAAAAGGCCGGTAGAGGCTCTGCATGGATGGTAATTTGTGATACCTGCAGTTCTTTAGCCTCCAACTTTTTACTGAGGCAGGATTTCTCTGTGTAGATCAGGTTGGACTCAAAGTCACATCTGCCTGCCTCTGTCCCAAGTGCTGGGATTAAAGGTGTGTGCCACCATTGCCTGGCTAGCCTCCAACTTTTTAAAACTTATTTTGTGTTTTTTCCTTGAGTGTGATTGCCAGTGCCCTCTAAGGTACTTAATTCCCTGGAACAGGAAGGGACATGGGTGTTGGAGATTGAACTTGGGTCCTCTGCAAGAGCAGTAAATTAAAACAACCCCTCCACATACAGAAAGAACTTATTTATTTATTTATTTATTTATTTATTTATTTAGAGCTGAGAACTGAACCCAGGGCCTTGCGCTTGCTAGGCAAGCACACTACCACTGAGCTAAATACCCAACCCAGAAAGAACTTTTTAATGAATGTTTAGCCTTTGTATGTCTGAAGGTCAGAAGGTACTAGATCCTCCAGAGCTGGAGGGTCAGATGGTTGTTAGCTGCTACATGGGTGCTAGGAACCTCTTAACTGCTAAGCCATTTCTGTAGCTCAATCTGCAGCTTAAAAGAACCAAGTTTATATTGTATGAGTGTCTGACCAGCCAAAAGAGGGTGTCGGAGCCCAGAGCCAGTTACATGCAGCTGTGAGCCACTCGCTCAGATTCTCTGCAAGAGCAATAGGTTCTCCATCACTGTGCAACTTCTGCACACAGTGGCTGAGCACTGTACGGTGTCCTAAGATGCCTTAAGGGGTGCTGGATCCCCTGGGACTGGAGTTAGGTGTGAGCCACCCACTATGTGGGTCCTGGAAGAGCAGCCAGTCCTCTTACCTGCTGAGCTATCTCCAGCCCCAATTCCACAACTCTTCAGATATGCTTGGCAGGGCCAGTTGTACCTGCTTGCTCTGCCTGGGGACAGGGCCTTGTATGTCTCAGCTTAGGAGCAGCCTGCAGCCACTGTCATGGGGTCTCTCTCACCCTTCTGAAAGGTGCCAAACAAACTGGCTCCCAGCCAGGCTCCTTCACCCTTGTAGATACAAGGTTCCCATATGGTCTTGGTCCCTTTAACTTGATTTGTCCCTATTCTAGTTCTGGGAGAGAACCCCAGGCCTCGTGAATGTTGGGCAAGCACTCCACCACTGAGCTACCTCCTCAGCTGTTGCTGTAACAGGCCCAGTTAGCTGCCTAGGCTGGCCTTGAACTTATAAGGTCTCTGAGGAGCCAGGATGAAGACCTGCACCACACCCACTTATTCACAACTGCAGGTGGGGGGCCACATTGGTTAGCAAGCCTGCCAGGTTTGACCTGCCTCCCTGTGAACTCTGTTTCTCAGCCAGCTGTTGAAGGACCCACAGGTGCTGTTTGCTGGCTACAAAGTCCCACACCCCTTGGAGCACAAGATCATCATCCGTGTGCAGACCACCCCAGACTACAGTCCCCAGGAGGCTTTCACCAACGCCATCACAGACCTCATCAGCGAGCTCTCCCTCCTGGAGGAGCGATTCCGGGTGAGGAGCGCTGGGGGCCAGGGGTTGGGGTGGGGGCACCACTGCTGCTGTGGCTGTGAGTTAGAGCTACCCCAGCACACTTAGAATCCCCAATGAGGGGCTGGGGTATAGCTTAGTGGTGCAATATTTACCTAGCACAGTCAAGGCCTTGGGTACATGGGGGTGGGGGGTGGGAGGGAAGCTCTCCCTTTGCCTGGCTGCTCTGGGTCATAAGGTCCCAGAGACTCTGGGCTCTTGTCGAGTAGCCTAGCCGTTCTTCCCAGGGTAGGGATGACAACAGCTCTTGCTCAGGGGCCCTCAGTGTAAGGTAAGCCACTTTTGAGGTTTCACCCAATGGGCATGTCCCAGTTGGCTCCATCCCCAGCCCTCAGCAAGCAGATGCCACAGGGCAGGTGAAGCCTGCTGAGGTACCTGGAGACTGGTCTGCCCCTTGCCATGTTCTCTGGAGTGCTCGCTGCATTTGGGAGAACTGCAGCAGTCTTGGCGCCCGCTCGCCCCACAATCCCAATATGCTGGGGTCATTACAGTGTAGTCACTGCCTTTGTCTTCCTCAGGTGGCCATCAAGGACAAGCAAGAAGGAATTGAGTAGCAGCTGAAAGCAGCGTTGCTTAGTGGCTGTAAGGCTGGCACATACATCCTCAGGGCTCTTCTCAGCCCACTGCGATGGCAACAGCCACTTTCAGCTCTCTAGCTGGGTACAGGACACTGTCCCATTCTGTACATAGACTGTTATTTTCCTAATAAAGTAGGGCAGAAGGTGGACTGTCAGACTTGATGGCTGCCGGTGGCCTGTCACCCAGACTCAAACCACAGGTTGGGCAGAACCTGGGGCTGCTGGGCCTGCTGGTTAACCGAGTGGGAACCCCAGCGGAGCCTGTGTGAGCACACTCATTTCCTTCCCACTGGCCTCCACTCCACAATAGAGAATTTAATAACAAATACTCCCTGGTACAAACCCTCTCCCGCTAGCCCCAAGCTAACAAGCCATGTCCTGACACTGCCTTGTGCAGGCGTCTAGCATCTCCTCCAGATGGACACGATGTTGGAGTCCGTCAGAGCAGTGAGGTAGGTACAGGCTGCGTTGGCCACGGCTGTGTTTACCATGGTCTTGGTCACTGGTTGGCCCAATGCCGTTGGCTGAGGCCACTTCAGGATCTGAGGAGGGAAAAAAGGCACTAGGCTCCTGCCTACCCAACAGCAGCCCTAAGGGACACCAGGACCTGCATGGTGCCAACGTCACAACAGTACCTGTGTTGGGGGCTGCAGAGTTGTCGCCGGTGGAAGTGGCTGCTTCAGTAGGTGTTCAACATCATAGATCCACACACTGCCCTCCTCGTCCCCACACAGCACGAGGTTTTTTTCTGCCAGGACAAGTGGGAGTCTAAGATGGGGTGGGGGAGGGGCAGGGACGGAAAGGGAGTGTAATGAAGTGGGCAGGCTCACCAGGACAGGTGCTGAGTGAGAAGTAGGCCAGGCTGGTGGGTGACCACTGCAGCCGGGCCAGGATGACGACAGGCAACACAGACTGGCCGCCCCGGCCTGCCCACGTCTGGCTCCAGCTCCACAGGTAGATGGTGCCCTGGCCACTCCCTTTGGAGGCTGAAGGGAGAGGAGATATGAACTCAGGTTGACTGTGTGCCCAAGCCAGCTGTCAGTACAACCTCCCTGCTCCCCAACAGGTGTCTCAGCACCCTTAGACTAGGCCCCAGCCCACCTAGGGTGTCCAGCTGGGCTCACTCACCCACCACATCTTCATTCACAAATGCCAGCCCATCCACTCTTTGTCCCGACACCTTGGAGTCCTCAGAGAAGACAAAGTCCACCTCACACACCCTGTGGAAGACAATAGCGTGGTCCTGCTTGGGTTTTTGGCACAGAGAACTTTAGCTTTGTTTTAAAGGGGAGTCACAGGGGTGGGAGCACGGGGTCACCAGGGGCTGGACATCCAGGGCTGTAGGCCAGAGAGTGCTTTCAGTGCAGTGCCCCTCTTCCCAAGATCAAGGACAGAAGCTGCGTGAAGGGAGGGCTCACTGGTGTTGGTTATTCATAGCAACACAAGCTTTCCCTGCTGTGCAGTCCCTTTGTAATCCCTCAAGACACAAAAGTGCCCCCCTTCCCCAACAGCTGTTTTCTAAGTGCTACAAGGGCCCTTCCAGCCCCTCAAGGCAGGAAAGTGGCCAGGCCCCACTGTACAAGAAAAAAAAAAAAGTTCTACCAGTCTCCAACCACTCCAACAACATCCCATCCCCCAACCCTGTATCAACCCAGTGCTCTGCCCAGTTCTCTGCTGCTGCTGGCCTGAGCAGAGGCAGCCACCCTCCTTGGGTTTCCCTCCCAGCTGTTGTCTTGTGTGAGGTTTGTGGTGGGTCTGACTCTGTGGTATTCCTTGGCCCCTGATGGCCACGATGCCTCTTGGAGTAGAGCTGTCACACTGACTGGGAAAACCATCCTGAACTGGAGCACAGCTGTTACACCTGCACTGGGGAAGATTCCCGGCAACTAGAGCAGAACTTGTGTGGGAGAAGCCTTTCCCTTAGAGCTGCACCACTACATTTGGTGACTTGATGGGTTCTCCTGGTGCGTGTGCTCCCCCTTGTGGTCTGAGCCGCACTGGGACCCTATCCGTCATCTCCAGTCCATCAGCAAGACTCACCTAGCGCAGCATCCATCCCAGACACCTGTGGCAACTAGTTAAGTTTCCCCTTCGGTCAGTGAAAACATTCCCGTGCATCTGAGGAAGTAACCACTGAGTGTCCAGTAACCACTGTGTGGTAACCACTGTGTGGTACTCTTAGAAGTGGGGGTTCCTCCAGCCAGTCTTAAGGCCACAGCTGGCCCCTCCTACAATATACCAATCTGGAGCCCAAGCCCCCAGCTGGAAAACAACTTATGAGCTGCAACTTCTCCCAGAGTTCCCATGATGCTGGGTCAAACTTAAGTATCTACAGAAAGGGCCTCCCGACTCCACAGGCAAAAGTCTTATTGGTGGCCTTCAAGGTGTACTATGGGAGAGAGATGGAGAAGAATCTCTTATAAGCGACACCTGGCAATAAAAAAGCCTATGGCCAATGGACTGAGGCAGGAAAGAGGCGGGGGTGGAGGGAGTGGGGAGACTGCCAGTAGAGAGAGGATTCTGGGGAATAGAAGCATGGGAAGTTTGCCCAGGAACACTGAGGAGGCAGCTGTAAACCAGCCACACAGAGGAACTCAGGAGAGAATAGAAGGGAGATTCGCAGGGGCCGCTAAGGAGACGGCCATAAACCAGCCGCTGCTGAGCTCAGGAGAGAATGGAGGAGACTCACCCTGGACACATGAAGCTGTGGAGAGGAAACTAGCCATGGGGAAGACAGTGACTTAATGGGTTAATGAAGTTACAAGCAGGTCAGGGAATGACCCAAAGCCTGTGCTAAGCACTTATACATACTTAGTCTCAGAGTTGTCCTTCCAGGAGCAGGGGTGGGAAAGGGAAAAACGGTTTTATTTTTTGCAGAGATGAAAAGGTCTGAAAACGATACATGATGATGGCTCAGACCTCTCAGCTGGCCAAAGCAAAAGCCCGGGCTCCCTGGCCCCCAGAGCCCGAAAACCTCCATGCTCCTGCTTCAAATGTCGCTCATGGCATGGGGACATCAAGCCCAGACCACCCTATGGCTGACCTCCTTGGTCTGGCTATGGATGACTGAGGGGCCCTGAGCTCCCTCCCCTCGGCTGACCATCCCATCTCTGACAGTGCCTTAGGTGGTCAGAGAGAGCGATCAATTTCCTTCCTTCTGGACACCAGGGTTCTGATCAAGTTCTGAAGACCCACCTCTCCTTCTTGTTCTTCTATTGTCAGAGTAGGGGGTCAGCCTTGCCAGGCCCAGCAAACCCCACTGCTTAGTTAGCTGCATATTTACACCTATCCTTACCCATCCCTTCCTAGTGGTACCAACCAGTCCCATCCCCTTCCTGGGAAGGGACCTCCTAGCCAAAATGGGAGCCTCCATTTCTTTTGCTCCCCACATCTGCCTGACCTTGGGTTTGCCAGCCGCTCCCCTCGTCCTCCTCGGCAAACCCCACACTGACACACCTTTTCCCTTACCTGCCTCTCAGGGAGATCCCTAGGGATGGGGCACCCAAAGCTCTACAGCCAACCATCACCCCCTCTTATTCACTACAAACCCACCAAATATATAACCTAATACCCATTTCCTCTCTAAAGCTGCAGCGGACATAGGCCTCTTATCCCTGACCTATCCGGAAACAATCTTCTGCGTCCCTCTTCTTCCCTTTAATGCCCCTTACTCACATGCACAAACCCAACAGAAGTTATTGCTTGGTTCAGGATCTGACTTATCAGTTCAGCAGTACTTCCCTCCACTTCAAAGTGCCCCGTCTCTGTAGTCTCTCCACTACCCCCCAGAGACCCCCCTACTTCTCTGTCCTAGACCACAAGGGTGCCTTGTCTTCTATTCCTCTGGACCCTTAGTCACAAAATATCTTTGTCTTTACTTGGACTGACCCAGACACTCACCATTTCTCCCCAATTCTCTCAGATCATCCTACCCTGGGGTTTCCGGGACAGCCCATATCTATTCAGCCAGGCTCTGGCTTCTGACCTATTCTCTGTCACTTTCTAAACCCAAGCTTATGCAGTATGTAGACGATCTTTTCCTTTGTAGTCCATCCCTGCAAATTATTCAGGTAGACACTTCAACTTCTGCCCAGCTGGAGATAAAGGGTCTCACTCTCTAAGCTCCAGCTGTTCACTCCTCAAGTTAAATAGATTCTACCCTTTTTAGGGACCTTAGGGACGGCTGGTTATACTCTTGCACTCCTCTCTCTCTTCTCGACTGCCCCTGCCTACATAAGGCAGCCCTCGGACCCTTTCGGGAGCCCTTTGTGTACCCACTACCAAGCCATTTCATGAGCTTCTATGGTCCTCCTCCAGGGTCCAGCCTTACATCTTTCTGAACTTAACTTGCACCTTTCTCTCTCTGTGACTGAAAAGGAGGGTTATGCCCTCAGGGTCCTGTGAAAAACTTGGGCTTTTCCTTTGCTCTCATGGCATACTTACCAAAAAAATTAGACCATGCTATCCAAGGATGGGCACCTTGTCTACAAGGTTATATGTGAATCAAGGAAGTTAACCTCTGGGTCACCTGTCACTGTCTTCTCTCCTCACCACCTGTCCACCTCCTGGCAGAGAAGGCTCTCCTGACACTACCCGCTCCTGAGTTCTCTCTCTTCAGGTAGCCTTGGCAGAGGACAGACACAACACTTAGCTTTCAGCCATACCTATCTCTTACCACATCACATCTTCTCTCCTGGCCAATCTCAGAATACCCTCCATCTTATTCCGGCAGTGAGACTCTCAGAGAATGACTGCCTTATCCTATACACAAAGCACACGAGGGAATGCCACCTCAGGCCACCTATACATGGTACACAGATGGCAAGGAAGTACGAAAAGCAAGACACGTTACTGTTTCCAACACCATAGTGGCTGAACCACAGGCCAACAGCTGAGTCAATGTTCTTACTCACACCTTCCAACTAGCAAAGGGGCAATCCCTAAGCCTCTCTACAGATTCAAGGATGCTCTTCACACTCTCTTGTCACATGCAGCTAACTGGAAGGGGCACAGACTGCTAACAGCTAAAGGAGGGGCCAAAACCAATTCTGACCAGATTATGGCCTGCTAGAGGCCTCCCATCTTCCCACGGCCATAGGAACTGTCCACACCGATCACACCAAGCAAACAATCCTGATATCTCTAAGGGATGTAACTGAGCTGGGGAGGGGCTAGAGCCAAGGCTCTCAGAGGCCCAGATTCTTGTACGCCAGAGGCGCTCTCATTCTACACCCACATCTCCTCCATCATCCCCAGATACTCAACACATCCATCCTATCTGGACCAGACCTTTCACCTCACTTTATCAAAACTTATTTACCGTCTACCCCGAGGATCTGTCCTTTCTAAAAACTATAACTGCTTCCTGTAAAATCTGCCAAACTCATAATCCCACCTCTGGTCTTCAGAGTTTCCCTTTCCCACACATCAAGCTGGGGGTGGGGTGGGATGGGGTGGGGGGGGTCCCTGCTTGGGTAGATGCTTCAGATACCTTTTGGTCCTAGAAGACCATCTCAGGTTGGGGAGAGGCTTCTCCACTAATAAAAGATCACAGTTTCTGATCTCCCTTTCAGGGAAATCAGGCCCCACTGCAGAGTTCCAACCTCCCTTCAATCAGATATGACCCTAAATTTACCTCTCAAACTTAGCTAAAGCCTTTAACATCCTGTGGTGTTTCCATATCCCCCACCATCCCTAGTCTTCAGGCAAGGTCAAATGAACCAATCGCTCTTTCAAAAATGTTATCAAACTCTCCCAAAAACTTCATACAGACTGGTGGTACCTGCTCAAAAACCCTTGCTAATCTGTCACTGGGTTTGTAGCCTTGCGGCATGATAACCAAGTGGTCCAAGTCACCCCCTCCTTTCTTGCACTCCAGGGCATAATTCCACTGGAGCTGCAGGGCTGACTGTCCCAGCCATTTACCACAGATTTTCCTCTCAGTTCATCCAGGATCTCCAGTTGGTGACTCAGACCATCCTTAGCCTCCAGGGTCAAACCGACTCACTGGTTACCGTGTTACAAAGTCAGTGGAGATTAGATTTACTAACAACAGAGAGAGGCATCTTTGTCTCTTCCTCAGGAAGGAATCTTGTTACTATGTCAACTGGCTACTATGTTACAAAGTCAGTGAAGACTAGATTTACTAACAAGAGAGAGGTGGTCTTTGACTCTTCCTCAGGAAGGAATCTTGTTACTGTGTCAATGAGTCAAACTCTAGAGGATATCCAAAAACATAAGCAACAGCTTGATGCCTCTGGCCAATGGCTCACTGACAGTCCAGTGTGGAATTGGATACTATCCTTCCTAACCCCTTGTTCCCCTCCTTTACTTAACCCTACTAATCGCACCCTGCCTCATAAACTTGTCCAGATTTCTTCAACAACAGATACAAAAGATTTCTAACCAGACTTTTCATTAGTTATAGCAACAGGATTACTGGCCTCAAGCTGAGCCAGAGACCTGCACACAGGGCTAACCCTGATGTGAAGATCAAACGTTTCCCAAGGACCGCCATGCCCCTAACCAGCAGGATGTAGTCTAATAAACCCCCACTCCCATCCCTGACTGTTAACAGTAAGTAAAAAAAAGAGGGGGGGGGAATGTTGGCAGGCCTTTCCCTGCCGTGGATGCCTTCTGTATACTCTGTAAACCTGGAAAGCCTTCAAGTCAGTAAAGAGGCCAGACCTCCTACCTGAGGAGGTCCAGTGGCCAGGCCCTGCTCCCAGATTGCCCTAGCCCCAAAGGTCATAATGATCAGGCTACAGAATCCCTCCAATCCCAGGCTACCCTGGAAAGCTCCGCATGTGATCCCACCCTCCCGCTCCCCCAAGAAACCACAGATACACCCTGTGTTCTGCCCAGTTCTCTGCTGTTTCTGGCCAGAGCAGAGGCAGCCACCCTTTTGCGTTTTTTCCTCTCATTACATCTCTTGTGTGACGTTTGTTGTGTGGTGTGACTTTGTGATAAATCCCTTGGTTCAGGACTGCAAGGACAGCTTTCCCAGCAGAGCTGTAACACTTTCCCATGAACAGAGTTTGCTGGGGAAACCTGCCGAGCACAATGGCTACAGTTTGCTGAGGAAGCCATCTCCAGCCAGAGGCCAGTGGTTACACTTGCACTGAGGAAACTTTCCTAGCAGCTAGGGCAGAACTTTCTTTCCCTTCTGAGCTACACTTACAGCTGTTGAGGTTGCTATGCAAGCTTGGTGCCTGGAATTTGATCTCCAGAACCCAAAAAGATGCATGAAACCTGCCTCTGCACTTTCCCACAACAGAGCAGACCCAGCCTGGCACCGGAATATTGCAATTCCCCTTTTCGGGGTGGCACTCCCTTCCTCCTAATGACCCTGGGGGTGGGGAGTGGGGGCGGCAGATGCCAGATTTGGGAACATACCAAGGCTAACACTCCCCTTGATAAACAACCACCATTTCTCTGTGCAGGTGGCTCCTGCCCTTGAAAGGAACAAGGACCAAACATACTTGAAATGATAAGAGGCCCACTTGGTCCACAACAAAAGGGCAATTAAGTATTCCCAGACAGCTGTGACCAGTTTGTAAAAATACACTAGCTCCTGAATAGCACCATAAAGTTACTTCCCAGGTCAGGAAGGTCCCCTTCCAGCTGCAAGGTTCCACCCTGCAGTCTGAACAAAGTTATCAGGTTTGAAGGATGGCTTTCCCTTGTCACCTCCTGAGTCATGTAACCCCAAAGTTGGAGGATCCCTGAGTGTGCATATGTGCGTATATATATATACTCCGCCCTGGACGTGGGCATGACATCCCTAACCTGTGCAGTGGGGAAGGCTTGCGATCCAGGTCTGACTCTAGGGGGTCTAAAATAAAGGCTCTCTTTGTTTTTACACTGGATTTGCAATTTCTGGAGTGTCTGGGGTTCCTGAGAACTGGGCATAACAAACCCACATGATGGTGGAGCCCTCTAACCTCCACATGTACCCTCCCCCACCAAAAAAATACATACATACACTCAGGTCAAAATAACAAGATAAAAACCTGTCTACATGGAGCTAGAGAGATGGCTCAGTAGTTAAAAGCACTGAATGCTCTTCCAGAGGTTAAATTCCCAGCAACCACATGGTGGTTCACAACCATTGAAATGGATCTAGTGCCCTCTTCTGGCATGCATCATATACACACATATAACACAGAATACTCATACATACATTAAAAAAAAAAAAAAAAAGCCAGGTAGCGGTGGCACACGCCTTTAATCCCAGCACTTGGGAGGCAGAGGTAGGTGGATTTCTGAGTTTGAGGCCAGCCTGGTCTACAGAGTGAGTTCCAGGAGAGCCAGGGCTACACAGAGAAACCCTGTCCCAAAAAAACAAAAAAAAAACAAAAACAACAACAACAACAACAAAAACACCAAACCAAACCAACCAACAAACCAACCAAACAAAAAATCTACATAGAGAAGTTCAGGCCAGCCAGGGCTGCACCGTGAGACCTTGTCTCAACAAGTTGGTGGTAGTCCCATCTGGGAAGACATGGGCCTGACACTACAGAGCCATCCTGGCATCTGTACAGTGGACCAATTTGGGCTAGGGCAGCATCAGAGAGGGGTGAGACCACGAGGCATGGAGAGTACACAGAATCTGGAGAGGGGAGGCAGACAAAACAACAACCAAACCAAACCAAACCAAACCCAACCCAACCAAACCCAACCCAACCCAACCCAACCCCAGGGATGATGGATGAGCAGGGAAACCTATGCCCACCAAGCAGCTGGATGGCCACACCTGCCCTACTTTTACTGTCCCTCTGGAAGCAATTATTCCTGTCAGCATCCTGTGCCCTTTTGGGGCTGTTTCTTATGCTGAGAATCCTACTGAGACAGGCTAGGTGGAGTATGTGGTAAGAGCACACTAGGGAATGGCGAGATGGCTCAGAAGGTAATGGTGCTTGCTGCCAAGCTCAACGACCAGAGTTCAATCCCTGGGATCCATAACTGGAAGGAGAGAACCAACTACTACATGTTGTCCTCTGAGCTCTGCATGCATGCTAGGGCATGTGTGCCCTTTTCCATAAATAAGTCAGGTTATATAAGTAAGTGTAATAAACTTCATTTTGCAGAAAGGAACTTGCACCTCACACTGCTGTTTGAGACTGGTCTCAAAGAAAGAATGCTAATGAGGACAGACTGGGGGTGGGGGACAGGGGGTATCCCTGGATGGTTTTGCTCTTCCTAACATAGCCATATTGAATACAATTTGCTAAGTGAGTGCTGAGTAGGCCTTTAATCCAAGCACTGGGAGGCAGAGGCAGGTAGATCTCTGAGTTCATGGCCAGCCTGATCAACAGAATGAGTTCTAGGTCAGCCTGGTCTACACAGAGCATCCTTATCTTCCCTGTCTTGGAAAACCAAACACTTGTTAAAAAGAGGTCGGTGAGATGTCTCAGGTTAGCCCTGCTGCACAATGCTTGTGAGCTGAGCTAGAACCCTCGGAAAGATAGAAGGAGAGACCCAATCCCATGGGCAAATTGAGGCACAAATGCCCCCATACACTGCATACACACAAAAGATGAAATATGGTAACTGGGGCTTGCTCAGGTGTGGGGAGGCACTCCCCATGAGCTTCTCTGACCGCTGGCTCTCAGCAGGGACAGTTAATATTCAAATTCCCCTCTGTAACAGGCAGCACAAACTGAATTCTGCTGATACCACAGCCCACAAACCTCAGCGCCCACTGCCCCAGAGCCTCTCTCCTCAGGGACACTTCTACTTGTTGAGCCAAGGTGGTCCCTTAGCTTTCCCCGGTCTCGGCCACCACTCCACTGTCCTCTCTGCAGAGCAGTTCTCTGAGAACTCGTTACCAGGCTGCATCCTCAGGACTCGCCCTTCCCCTGGGGCCTCACTTGGTTTTCAGCCATGATGTCACGTAGCCCAGGCCGGCCTCCATTCTCATGAGCTGAGGATGCCCCTGAACTTCTGAGCCTCTCAGGAGCTGAGGTAACAGGCATGCGCCACTGCACCTGGTTTATGCAGCGCTGGGAGCTCTGTGCACGGCTCGGCCCTCATATTTAATGTCAAGCCCCTTAGCCCTCACCACGTGGGCAGGACCGCCACACTGAGCTGTCTCAGGGCTTTCCACAGGAACAGATGAGCCACTCAAGTTCATCACCAAAGCTTCTCCTCTGGGTACATCCTGTCTCTACCACTCTCACTGACCCTGGGGTATACAACACTTGCCCTTTCCTCACAGACTCGGACATCATGCCAGGGCAGGAGGGTCACACACTGAGGGACAGCACTAGGGCTCCAGTGATTGACTACAGGGTGGTGAAGAGACCAGCTCATGAACGCAGCTTCTGGGGCAGCTCGTTGGGCAGCTCTGTGGTGTGCCCAGGGTCCACCCAGCACACCCAGCTTTGGGGCCCAGCTCTGCAGGCAGCCCCAGCATCCTCACCTACCTTTGCTTCTGGGGCTGGTCTAGCCGCACATCCCAGCAGCAGCAGCCCCCCTCACAGCCAGCCAGCAGGAAGTCATCTGGGCAGGTGGCCACAGGACAGAGACGCAAGGGGACAGAACCACAGGTGAGCGTGAGGAGCTGGCTGCCAACATGTAAGGAAAACCGTGAGTCATGGGCCAGGCTTGCCCCCAGCAGTCCTGACAGTCCTCTCCAGGCCAGTCCGCAGCCTCACCTAGCCTGGAACCTGTAATCGTGGTCGGGCACCCCGATGTCCCAGAGGACGATCCGTTTGTCGTAGGAGGCAGCTGGGGAGCGGGTGGAGGAAAGAGGAAGCCCTGAGAAAATGCCATCTCCTCTTGCAGACTGTGACTGTGGGTCACTCAACCAGCTTATCAGAGGCAGAAAGGGCAGACTGTGGCTACGATAAGAACTCCTGGGCCCACAATCCCCACAGTCCTGCCTGAACCTAGTATACACAGCTTCATAGCTGTCTTTACAGCACATCTGTCTCCTCTGTTGGGCTCACCATACCCAAGGGGCCGGGTTAAATCCCCTGGTCCCAGGCAGACACAAAGGAGCCCAAGTTGCTAGGAAACTTCAAGGCCACATAGCATGCTAGAAATAAAACTGGATGGAGATTCTGATTGGCCAAGAGGCTCCCTCACTTCTGAGTAACGCTCTCTGGGCCCCACACCCTGAACCCTACCACCTCAGAAGAGACCCTAGGCCACCGGGGCAGAAAAGGCTACAATGCTGAGAAAGCCCAGAGGCGAGGGTCTTACTGAAGAGGTGAGTCTCACGGGTGGGGCTGAAGCAGAGGGTGGCAATGGCCTTCTTATGGGCCCGGATGACACTGCAGCAGAAGCCTGCACGCACATGGAGTAGCCGGACCATGCCCCGAAGGCCTGCGGCTGCCAGCATGTGCCAGCGCTTCTTGTGGCCCGCCTGGGTGACCACCGTGAGGGCTGTCCAGGCCACTGAGAAGAACTCCTGAAGAGAGTAGAGGAAGGAGACAGCCATGAGCAGGGAACAGGAGGCAACCTGCCTGGAGGGCTGGTCTGGGGCAGGGAGGCATGAAACAAACAAAAGCCCCCAGGAAGGCTGTGGGGGCTGAGAGCTACCACAGCGCCTGCCTAGAATCCCCGAGTGAGGAGCTGGGGGACCGGAGACTCTGGGTTCCATCTCCACCAAAATAATTAAAGGCACAGGAAACAGACGGCTTCACGTGGACCTCCAGCCCCAGGGCTCATCCCAGAACCCAGCAGTCTTCAGGAAGGGGACCCTGGCACTCACCTCGCCTGGTACCTTGTATTTATGGAGTACGAGGCCTGTCTGGCAGTCTATCACGCAAACAGCCTCTCCGCCACACGTGGCCACGGTCTGGGATGTGGCCCGGGAGTCTCCTGTTTTATGGGACGAGCCACATAAACACCTTTTTTTATAAAGCTCCTCCCTACTGTCTTCCTTCCTGCACTACCTGCCTCTCAATTATTATTACTTATTTTAATTTTTTTGTGTGGCACAGGTAACAGAATCCACGGCCTCACACACGACAAGGCATCTGCCACTACACTACATCCATGGCCTCCTTTTCACCTTAAAAAAAACAAAAACAAAAACAGTGGTTACGTGGTTATGTACCTCTGTCATGTCGGGGTATGCCCATGTGACCGCCGGCGCCCACAGAGGCTGGACGAGAGCATCAGATCCCCAGAGCTGGCGTTACTGGCAGCTCTGAACTGCCAATGGTAGACGCTAGCAACCAAACTCCCGTCCTCTACAAGAGCAGCAAGCACTCTTAGCCAGGGAGCCATCTCTCCGGCCCTTTCTTTCTATCTTGAGATCAATCTCATTCCCCAGGTATCCGTCCCTCTCTCGTCTGAGCACCACCCTGTGACCCAAACCGCCCACGCCCACTGGCCCAGCACGCACCCTCCTCCCGGGCTGGCTCAAAGGCACAGGCCCACAGCTGGGTCTCCAGGTCCTTGGGGCTGTTGTTTCTGCTATGACACTGTAGGAAGTGCAGGGGCTCCAGGTGTAGGGCAGCCTGTGGGGACACGGGTGGTCACAGCTGCCCCTTGGCCTGCTCCTCCTGGCATGCTCCCTCTGGCACCTGGAGAGCTTACCTGGCCTCCACTGGCGTCCACAGGACTGTCCTCAGTCTGGGCTGGTGGCAAGACACACACTTGCTTGCTGGGAGGGAGGTTGACTGGGTCATTACCTGGCCGTTTTGAAGCCACCTTTCTGGCCTGTGGAAGGAAGGGGGCTTTAGCCATTTGACCACGCTCCAAGGTCCCTCCCCTGACTGCACACTGAACTATACACCCTCTTAAGAGGGCCCTTGCTCCGTGTTAGGGCTGGGCACTTAAAATGTTCTCCAAGGGCCTAAAGGCTAAAGGGCTGGGTCACCAGCCTGTGGGGCTACTCTGGAGTACAGGGGAGGCGAAGGGACTTAGGCATCCCTTTGAATGGGACATTGGGACACTGGTTCCCCTTTCTCTCTTTGGTTCTTGGCTGCCACAAGATCCCCAGCCCATCCCCATAAGAGCCACAACAGGTACGGACTAGAACCAAGGAACTAAGGACTGAAATTGTAAACCCAAAACAACCTTTCCTCCTTGTAACTTTGTAAACTTCAGGTATTTTGTCACGGCAAGGGAAGGGTGACTGTCATACTTGAGTATCACCCGAGTTTATGTAATTCTAGTGCAGAAAGACCCAGGGTACTCACAGCCACGTGGATGGAAACACTCACCCTGAGCATGGAGGCCCCTGCAGTCTGGGGACGCCCCACTGGTACCTTAGCATCTTGCACCTGAGTCCCACCTGAGGCCACCAGCTCTTCAGCAATCATCCGCACCTGGGTAAGGCCAGGCCCTTAGCAGGCTGAACACAGTCTTGGGTGCCCTAACCCCTCCCCAAATACCTGGTCACAGGGAGCTTGTGCCTCTTGAGGTAGGAAATGGCCTCCTCAGGCACAAGGGCTACTCTCTCAGACCCGGCCAACTCCCCACAGTGCCCCAATCTTCACAACCAGGGACTTCTCCAGGACAACTGAGAGCCAGGAAAACCAACCCCCCGGCACAATGCTCCCCTCCCCATGACATACCCGCCACTGCGTGAACTCCATGATAGACTCGGGGCCGTAACGCACATCCCTGACTGCAGCCCTCAAGAAGTCAGCCCGCACTTTGTCAGCTTTCTCTTCAGGGCTCACAGTGGCTTGGAACTCCTGCCAGTGAGCTGTGACCTGCATAAGGACCAGAACAAGGCCCGCCCAGCCTGGGTCTTCTGGCTTACAAAGCACCTCCTCCTGACCACAGTGTATTGACTATACCACCTTCTAGAAATTTCTGCAAGCACAACCTCTTATTTTGCTACTAGCATAAACTGAAGTCACATGACTTGAAACCAGTCTGGTTCAACAACCATGGGCATGGTGGTGATCTCAATACTTGGGAGGCTGAGGCAGAAGAGTCCTAGGCTATCTGGGCTATACAAGCAAGACCCTGTGTCAAAAAACATCTCACTACAGAGTCTAGCCTCCCTAGTGTCCTGCTGTGCTTGCTGTATACAATGGAGACAGGGTCTCCAAACATAGGAAGAAAACCAAAACAGATTCAACACTTCAGACTTGAGGCTGTCTAGGCAAGGATCTCTGTTACACACCTCCAAAAATCCACTTCTGTCCCCATCAACAACCAACTGATATGACCAAGGACCCCACCCCCACCCATCATCCTTACCCTACCCCTATCCTCCTTACCCCCCCCCCCCCCCCCTTCCCCCCCCCCCCCATCATCCTTACCCCACCCCCCCATCATCCTTACCCTTCTGGTCAGCTCCTGATCTAGGCTTTCCACCTGTGAGCAGGTGGAAGCTGTGTCCTTGCCATTGACTTTACGTAGCTTGGGAAGGAGAAAGGAGACTTTGAGGTTGTCACTGACCTAACAGAAGGAGAGATAACAGAAAGCCAGGAGTAATGCATATCCGTAATCTCACCAGCCTATGCTACATGAGACCCTGTCTCAAAACAAAACGAAACCGGACAAAAAAAGAGCGAAGCCTGAGTCTGCCCCACAGAGTCCTGGTCCTGAGCATTCCACTGGTAGAACCCTCCTCCTCACCGTCAGGAAGGGGTTGCCTTCCAGACTGAGCTCCTCAAGTTCCGGGAACTGGTGCAAGGTAGTGACATCCCCTAGCTGGTTGTTGGTACAGCGAAGGATGCGCAGATGGGACAGGCCCAGGTTAGCAGGCAGCGTCTCCAGCAAGTTGTTAGAGAGGTCAAGTTCCTTCAGCCGCTTCAGGCGTCCCAGGAGATTAGGATCCAAGTGCTCTGAGAGCAGCTCCAATCCTGACAGACTGGGGTGAGGGCAGAGATCAAGAGCGCTCAGGGGGCGGGCTAGACCCTCCCGCTAATCACCTCATCTGTCCCAGAGGGATTCTCACCAAGAAAGGTCGTATGCAAGCATGGGCTTACTTATTTTTTTAGACTTGGCTAGCCTGAACTATGTAGACTAGGCTGGCCTCGAAATGCAAGAGATCCGATCCTCCACGACTCATTTGTGTGGTCCAGAAAAGCCTTGAACTTACTCTCCTGCCTCTCTCTCCAAGTGCCGGGATGACAGGCATGTGCCACCCCGTTCAGGTGTTGCCAGGGATGGAGCCCTGTGGAAGCCTTTGTGCATGTCTCGTAAGCAATGTACCAACTGGCCTGTGCCAGCAGTTCTAGGCGCCTGACTTTCTAAATTACATTTCTACTCATTACAGAGGGTCTGTGGATCTGTGGTGTGTGTGTTTGTGTGTGTGTGTGGGTACAGTCCAAAGTGTGAGTAACGAGGTCAAGTTTTTAGGGAGCTGGTTCTCTCCGTTGTCGGGGTCCAAGGGGCTGAACTCAGGCTTGGTGACAGGCACCTTTACCTGCAGGATCATTACTGTAGCCCATCTTCCTTCCCTTAAAGAATACTTTGTTGCTGGGCATGGTGGCACAAGCCTTTAATCTCAGCACTTGAGAGGCAGAGGCAGGCAGACCCCTGTGAGTTCGAGGTCAGCCTGGTCTCCAAAGCCAGTTTCAGGACAACCAGGGCTTTTACACAGACAAACCCTGTGTCGAAAATCAAAAGAAAGAAAGTAAGAAAGAAAGTTTTTCTTTTTGAGACAGGGTCTCATTCCGTAGTCTAGGCTAGCTTCCAACGCATGACATTAGTCTTGCACCAGGACTTTGTTTTTCTTTTTTTTTCTTTCTTTTCTTTTTCTTTCTTCCTTTTTTTGTGCTCCTGGCCTTTGAATATCAGATCACATAACGACTTTAGAACCTAAGACCTAAGTTCCTTCTGGATTGCTTTTACTCGTTCCTGGTGGCCCGTTCCATGCTATCCAGGATCCCTCAATATCTCAACAGTCTTTCTACTCTCCTCAAGGCGCTCGCTCCAGGTTTACCTGACACGGGGCTTTGGCTGCCAATCGCCCGCATCTCCGTTAGGAGCGAGATATCCCTGATTGGGGGGGGGGGGGCTGATCCCTGCATTCCGCCCACCAAACCGCCCGCGCGGGGAGTGACCCCACGCCCCGAATCCGTTTCAACCCCGCCTGCTCTTACTTCAAACTCTTAATCTTCCCCAGCCTGTTGGTCTTGGGTCGCCCACGTTGCAGGAGCAGCTGCGGCGTGAGAGGAGCCATGGATGGCCGAGGGCTCAACCGAACCCGCGTCTCCACGAATTCCGGTCGTTAAGGCCCGCGGCCGAGGAGCCCAGGAGATGGCGCACAACAAACCCTATGAGAGTCTGGGGCGACCGGAAGGAAGCAGAACGCCGGCTGCACGCCCCACCTCCTGCTGCTGCGTGCGAGGACTACAACTCCCAGCGGCCCCTGGGTGTCGCGCCTGCGCTCTAGCTGCTCGGAGGACGCAATGGCGGCGGTAGCAGTGGCTGAAGTTTCTCATTTGCAGGAGTGCGGCTGTAAGGGCATCCGGACTTGTCTTATCTGCGAGAGACAACGTCAGAGGGACCCACCCTGGCAGATCTCCCTTCAGGTACGGGCTAGGAAGAGTCATAGCCAGAAAATTTGTTCATCTTAATGGGAAACTGAGGCCCAGCTTGCCTGTGAAACAGTCAGGGATCAAAGCCTCGCGGTAGGGGAGTTGTTTGGAGCGCTGATACCTCAATATTCACAAAACCCAAAAGGTGGGCGCTTCCCAAGTGCCATCAGCTGATGAATGGAAGAGCGGGAAAAATGCTGGTGCACGCCGAGATCTCTGCATTTGAAAGGCAGAGAGGCTGGAGAGGCAGAAGTTGAAGCCAACCTCAGCCACACAACAGGTTTTAAGAGTTGTCTTGGAAGTAGTGACTTTGCTGGGGTGAAGTGGCAGATAACTGGAACTTAATACCTGGGGTTCTGGGTGAGCTTCCGGAGCACAGGGAGATCGCTTGGAAATGGTAGGGAGTGCTAAATACTAGGCCGTCTGTATTGGAAATTCTTCTGAAAGCCAGGGAAAAAAGACAGACAAGGAATGAGCGACTTAAGACAGCACAGGCTTTGATTTGGGAGGAAATTTTTTGGGAAAACAAACCTGTAAGAATCAGCTTTACAGCTGGGCAGTGGTAGTGCGTGCCTTTAGTCTCAGCAGAGGCAGGCAGATCTCCGTGAGTTCGAGGCTAGGCTAATCTACATAGGGATTTCCTGGAAAGCCCATCTTGAAAAACAAAAATCTGTCAAAACAAGGTAGGATCAGAAGGGGGGTGGGCCACGAAGTATGTTAAAGTGTTTCTCTTTTAGCTCTCTCTTGACCGTGGCTAACACCTTCCATCAAAATAGGCAATGGATGAATGAAGAATGAATGAATGAAAATAACCTCAGAGCATTTGTATGGCCCTGGTAGCCTGTAGCAGGTTGCTGGGGTGCATAGCCAGGGGAATGCTTGAGAAGGGGCATGAGATAGGAGCTGTGGTGGCTTGGGTGACACTTAAGAGATCAAAGGGGCCTGAGCAAACAAGGCTCGGTGAACATCACCGCACAGGCAGAATGTGAAAAGAACTTTAAATTCAAGTTTTAGAAGGATGCTTGTCAGAGGAAGCTGGGAAACCAGCAGGGAGTCTCTCTGTTGGAGCTAAAATGCCCAACATCTTGTGGGAAACGGTTTGAGGTGCCTCACCAGCAGACTGAGCAGGTCATCTGGTGTGTTCTTGGGTCTATGTGCAAAAGAAAGTTTTTTGTTTTAGCTATTTTTTTTTAGTTAGAGGCCCAAGAACACCCCCCCCCCTCCATGCTAAGATTACAGGCATATGTCACCATGTCTGGGTCATAGCAGCATTCAGAGAGACCAAACAAACACCCAGGTGTTTATAGCAACTGGTGAGTTGAGGAGTCAGCAGTGTTGGTGCTGGCCTGAGGGAGTTCAAAGATAGCTGCACAGCAAGTTGAAAACCAGACTAAGCTAAATAAAAGCCTGTCTCAAAAGAACAAAAGAAAGAGGCAAACAATAAACTAATAAATGAATAAAAAAAAATCTTGGATATCCATACAGCAGATACAACCTTAGAAAGGAAGGAAATTCTGACATGAGTTCCGTACGGATTCTCCTTGATGCTAAAAGAAAGAAGCCAGTCACTGGCTGGAGGCATGGTTTGGAGGTAGAGCACCTGCTTAGCGCCACCCAGTGCGGGTCTGGAGAGACAGCTCAACACTTGCTTGCTCTTGCAGAAGACGTAAGTTTGGCTCCCAACACCCATGTCGGGTGGATCACATCTGCCAGCCTCAGGGGGATCTGACGCCCTCTTCTGGCTTGGAGAGCACACGTGCATTGCCACACACAGATACAAACGTAAGATGTAATTTAAAAGAGAGAGAGAGAGAGAGAGAGAGAGAGAGAGAGAGAGAGAGAGAGAGAGCGCGCGAGAGAGAGCGAGAGCAAGAGCGCGAGAGCGCGATTGAAGAATGCCCTAGTGAGGCGCTTGGGGTGTGCCTCAGTGGTAGAGTGTTTGCTTAACATGCTAGGCCCTGGGTTCCAGGGATCTCATGTAGCCCAGGCTGCCCTTAAGCTCACTATATATATAGTGAAAGATGACTGGGAACTCTTGGTCATCATGCCTCTACCTCCTGAACACCAGGATTACAGACCTCTACCACCACACAGGTTTTTGCAGTGCTGGGGATGGAACCCATGGCTTCATGCATTCGAGGCAGGCACTGTGCCATCTGAACTACTGCCTCAGGTTTATGATGCCCCTACCCCTCTTTTAAATAATGTATTTTAACTTTATTTTATGTACATTGGTGTTTTGCCTGCATTATGTCTATGTGAGGGTGTTGGATCTCCTGGAACAGAAGTTACAGACAGTCTTGAGCTCTCCCGGTCGTCTGGAAGAGCAGCCGGTACTCTTATTCGCTGAGCTGTCTCTCCAGCCCCTAGGATGGTGTTTCTACTGCTGCATCTCTCAGTCTCAGAGGAGGAGCAGGGCTGAGGAAGGTGCACATCTGTGGCTTCCAATAAGCATTGCCCAGCCCCTGGCCACCCAGACCACAGCCTTAGGGTTAGCCCTACTTCTCAGACTCCTGATGCAGGCTCCTGTCCTTTTATCCTCTTGTTCCTGAGGGTCAGGTGATACTACCCACAATGCAAAAGGAATAGTGTCCACATCCCCCAGCTAAGGCTATGTCCTCTTAGAGCAAAGATGCAAAAGAAAGACTGAGAATCCCATGCCTACTTCAGAGGGCTGCAGGCCTGAGGCTGGGTTCAGTTTGCATCACCCCTGGGACTCCAGGCTCCTCTCCAAGTTGCTTTAATTCCAAGAAGAGCATCGGAATCTCAGAGGCCAGAGGCTTCTGGGGGTCCTGGGCACATGTAGCTATCGTGGGTATTTGCTGGTTCCAGGGTGCTTCTGTTTGGGGTGTATGTGTATACAGGTGTATGTGTACAGGTAGAGGGCAGAGGATAGCCTCAGATGCCCACCTTGTTTTTTTGAGAGAGGGTCTCTCACTAGCCTGGAACTTTCCAAGAGGCCAGGCTAGCTTGCATGCTCTGACCGTTGCCTCCCAGCTCTGGGATTACCGGCATCTGTGACTACACCTAGCTTACTACATCTGCTTTAGGGGATGGAACTCAGGTCTTTGTGCTTCTTGCAAGGTGAGTACGTCACCAGCCTACCCACTCTGCCCCATCTCTGTCTCTCACAGAGAAAATGCTGTTTCCTCTACTGCCCGGACACAGGCTGGGCCATGGGGGCCCAGGGCTCTGACTTCGAGGGTTGGGCATTCCCCTTCCCAGGAGTGACACTGATACAGGACTTTGTGACCCCAGAGGAAGAAGCTGAGATGGTGCGTCTCATGGACTGTGACCCCTGGAAGCTCTCACAGTCGGGGAGGAGGAAGCAGGTACCGTGGATGAGCCGGGGGGGGGGGGGGGCACGACGGTCCCTTTGTCAGCAGCCCCGGCTATCTCCTGTAGTCGCACCCTAGGGTTCTTTGGTCACTGGGTGTGGACTTCCTCATCAAGTGCCTGCCACCGTCTCTATGCGGCTGTCTTGTTGGTGAAGGGATACTAAGTTCTAGAGAGGCTCTCCATCATCCCTCACTTGTATATCAGGACTCCTGAGGTGCCCTCAGGGACCTGGTACCCTCCTATTTCTCCCCTTTCTCGTTATCTCTCCCTCACCACAATGTAGTCAGTTCCTGCCAATAGCTTCAAAGCTGCCCTTCACCCTTTGTTCCTGGCATTGTAGTGTTGGGTTAGAGTTCTGGTGACATCAGCCAGTTGGAGGTCCCTTCAAGCTTCGCCCTGTGCTGGGACAGCCCCAGCCACCCACTCTGCCCCCAATCCTTCAGACAGACGGAGCCATGCGGCTTCCATGGGGTCCTTGTTCCTTTCTCCACCCCACCTCCATCTCCACCTTTCCCAAGAAGCCCCCACCTCACCAGGGTCTGAGACCCCAAGCTGGTCTATGAATATGAACTTCTAATCCTCCTGCCTCCACTTCTCAAATGCTAGGATTGTAGGCACTACTATGTTGGCATTTTTCCCTTCAAGACAGGGTCTCACTCTGTAGTCCAGGCTGGCCTTGAACTCTATGCAGTCCTTCTACCTCAGCGTCTTAGGTCCTGGGATGACATGCATACACCAGCCATGCCCAGTTTGTGGTTGGCATGTCTTAAACTGAACCACTTCTTCCTTCCTGTCTCCACCCCAGGACTATGGGCCTAAAGTCAATTTTCGGAAGCAGAAGCTGAAGATGGCCGGCTTCCAGGGTCTCCCCAGCTTTAGCCAAAAGTTAGTCCAGAGGATGGGCCTTTACCGGGGGCTGGAGGACTTCCAGCCTGTGGAACAGTGTAATTTGGACTACAGCCCTGAGCGGGGCTCCGCCATCGACCCCCACCTGGATGATGCCTGGCTGTGGGGCGAGCGGCTGGTGAGCCTCAACCTCCTGTCGGCCACAGTGCTGTCCATGTCTCTGGAGACCCCTGACAGCCTGCTGCTCTGCCCAGCCCCCTCTGTCGGACCTGATGCTTTTGAGGGCAGCATCGAGGCCCCTAGCAGGTCTGTCCCCTGCCAAGAGGTGGAGGTGGCCATCTCAGTACCCCGCCGCTCCCTGCTGGTGCTTACAGGGGCCGCACGACACCAGTGGACACACGCCATCCACCGCAGACACATCAAGGCCCGCCGTGTGTGCGCCACCTTCAGAGAGCTGTCCGATGAGTTCCTGCCTGGAGGGAAGCGGCAAGAACTGGGCCAAGAACTGCTGCAGGCTGCGCTTTCATTCCAGGGGAGACCAGTGTGAATGCCTCCCAGGGCGCAGGCCTTGCTAAAACCCTAGGTCCAGCACAACCATTGCTAACGCTGAGGTCTCCCCACAACTCAGTAAACTCATGGGTTTTTTGAGACAAGGTCTCATGTAGCCCAGGCTACCCTCCAGTTAATTCTGTAGCTAAGGATGACCTTATACTCTTGACTTTTCTACCTCCACTTCTCAAGCTCTAGATGTGCACTGCCAGGCCTGGCTTTTTGTTTTGTGTTGTTTGTTCCTCAGCCTTCATTGTTGAGGTGCCGTGCGTTTGTAAGACAGGGTCTCTAATTTGCCTGCAGCTCTCCAAGTACACTGGGCTGTCTGGCACCAAGCACAGGAATCCACCTGTTTGCTCATCTCCAGCCCTGAAATCACACCTGCCCCATATCTAGTCTATGGGCTCAGGGATTCATGCCAACAGGGACAGCGCTTGCTGACTGAGCAAAACTGTAGTGACAACTTTGGAATTTTGGTTTCTTTAGAAAACACAAATAGAAGAATGTTTTTGTTTTAATCCCAGATATAGGATACGGGGCTGCTTCAGATTGTCCACAGCATCTGACTATGATTTGCCTCGTGCTCTAGCAGGGATGTGATTTAGCTACTGTGGTTGAGTGACATTTGGAGTTCTGGGTACTTTTCAGTGGAAACTTGGTAGAGTTGAGTGGGTTCAGAGACCCCAGCTCCCACCTAGGATGGTCGGCATTTCCCTGCTCCCTACCAGATGCCTGGCCCGGAACACGTGACCACACTCCTTACATAAGAACATGACCAATGGTCAAGTAGGTAGAACAGAGTTCTCCATGCTAAGGAGGTGTCTAGAGGCCCGGAGGGTTTGGCCAATGAGCTTCCCTTCCTGGACATTCCTTCCTGCAAAAGGTACTTAAATTCTAGTTCACCCTGGGGAAGTGGCATGGACCCATTTTCCATGATGAACAGTCAGTAAGCTCTGTGGATAAGCATGAACTGTCAGCCAGGCAGTGATGGCACATGTCTTTAATCCCAGCACTTGGGAGGCAGAGGCAGGTGGATTTCTGAGTTCGAGGCCAGCCTGGTCTACAGAGTGAGTTCCAGGACAGCCAGGGCTACACAGAGAAACCATGTCTCAAAAAAACAAAAACAACAAAACAAAAAAGCATGAACTGTCACTCATCAAGAACTCCTGTGGGGAGCACAGAGGAAGTCTTCATCCACAGAGGTGTGCTGTGTAAGTCTGCCACTGAAGTCCCCTCTGTGATCCAGGACAATTGTTGCTGTGCTAAGTCACAGTTCATCCCCAGCCCCACATCCTCAGTCCGCAGGTTTGATTCCTCCTCACAGTTTCCAGTGGTGTCTAGATGTCCAGGAGTCAGGGAACCCCAGCTTTGGCCTCAGCCTATGTTGTCTATCTCTCAGGCTTAGTCCCATATTTTGGGCCACATTTTCACACCACCTGAGTGGTGTGTGGGCACTTCCTGCAAGCCCAGCACCCGACGGTGGCACAGGGTAAATGCAGTCTGGCATTCTGTTTCATCTGCCTGGTGGAGCTCCCACACCCAGCTCTGAGGTCAACCTCGAAACCACAGACAGGCAGGTGTTGCCTCTATGTGACTGATTGTCACAGTCTTTTCCATGGGGTGTCATGGTCACATGTTCCAGGGTAGGAACCTGGTCAAGAGTAGATTTAAAAGCCTACCACCGATCTAAGTTATGAGAATTACCAGGGTTTCTGAATCTGCTCCATCTTACCAAGCTTTCTGTCTGGTGGCACGGTTGGTCCACTCCTCACACGTCTCCATATGCTTTGCACACCTGACTCCCAGCAGCCTCTAGGCTGAAGGCCTAGATCATTAGTGTCCTAGGGTTTCTTTTGCTGCAACAAAACACCATGACCAGGAAGCAAGTGCGGAGGAAAGGGTTCATTCAGCTCACACTTCCACATTGCTCTTCATCACCAAAGGAAGTCGGGACAGGAACTCAAGCACAGCAGGAACCTGGATGCAAGAGCCGATGCAGAGGCCATGGAGGAATGCTGCTTACTGGCTTGCTCCCCATGGCTTGCTCAGCCTGCTTTCTTATAGAACCCAGGACCACCAGCCCAGGGATGGCATCATTGACAGTGGGTTGGGTCCTCCTCTGCTAATCATTAATTAGGAAAAAGGTCTAACAGCTGGATCTCATGGAGGCAGTTCCTCAACTGAGGCTCCGTCCTCTCTGATGAGTCTAGCTTGGGTCAGCTTGACACAAGACCAGCAAGTACAACTGACCCCTTGTCAGCCTGACACACAAACACATCACTATTAAGCCTCAACCCTTCCTTTCTCATTATCCCTAAGATCTCACATTCAAAACACAACTTTAAAAGTTCCACGGCTTTTACGAGTTCAAACACATTAAACCCAATCTCTCTTAAAATCTTAAGTCTTTTAAAATCCAAAGGCTCTCAACTGTGGGTCCAATACTTAAAATACTTTGTTGTTGTTGTTTTGTTGTTTTTTTGAGACAGGGTTTCTCTGTGTAGCTTTGGCTGTCCTGGAACTCACTCTAGACCAAGCTGGCCTCGAACCTTAAAGTACATTATTAATTCAAGAGGATACAATCAGGACATAGAGACATTTAAAGCAAATCAAACCCCAACTGTCCAATGTCTGGGATTCAGTCACAACTTCCCGGGCTCTTCCAAAGGACTTGGGTCACATCTCTGGCTCTGCCCTCTGCAGCACATACAGTTTGTCTTCTAGGCTCCGCTGGCTCCACTCTGCTGCTGCTGCTGTTCTTGGTGGTCATCCCGTGGCGCTGGCATCTATAAAATGTTGGGGTCTTTTATTGCAACTTCCGCTCAGAGGCTTTCAGCAATAGCCTCTCGTTGGCTTGCTCCCTGGTGCCAAGCCTCAACTTCTCAGCATGACGCCTTCAGTCCTGGGCCCTTCAGCTGCCACCGAGACTGCACCTTCACCAATGGACTCCCCTGCCTGTCACAGTGCCAAGCCTCAGCTGCTCTTCATGACCTTGCTATGCCTTCAAAACCAGTATCACCTGGTGAATGTTAAATATTACCAAGCCTGGCAGCCAGCACAATGTCTGTCTCTGGAGCACAGCTTCTCTGTGCTCTCAGAAAACACTTTCCAGAAGATTTCATCTCAGCGATGCTGGTTACTTCTTTTTTTTTTTTTTAAAAAAAAAAAAAACATTGGTTATTCACATTTCAAATGTTGTCCCCCTTCCCAGTTTCCTCTCCGAAAACTCCCCATCCCATTCTCCCTGCCCCCTTAGTCACCACTAGTTTCTTAGCTCCAGCCAGTCAGCATTAACTGTCCCAGTAACACTTTTATTTATTTATTTTGTTTTGTTTTTCGAGACAGGGTTTCTCTGTGGAGCCCTTGCTGTCCTGGAACTCACTCTGTAGACCAGGCTGGCCTCGAACTCAGAAATCTGCCTGCCTCTGCCTCCCAAGTGCTGGGATTAAAGGTGTGTGCCACCACCGCCCAGCTCCAGTAACACTTTTAATAGTCCTGGTATCTTGTTAGTCACAGCTGATTCTTCAGCCTCAGCTAACGAGAACCACGGAATCTTAAGTCAAAATAGCAAACAGCCCTGATATTGTCTTTAATCTTCCCTCTGAGATTTCACAAGCCAGGCCTTGTCTCCACTGCTCTCAACATTCATTTTTTTTTTCCTCTTCCCTTCTCCCTCTCCTCCCTCTTGCTCAGGTCCCACTTGCTCCAGCTCCTGCTTGCTCCGGTCCCCACTCATTCTGGCCCAGAATGAGTACACTGTAGCTGTCTTCAAACACCCATATGAGGGCATCAGATCTCATTACAGATGGTTGTGAGCCACCATATGGTTGCTGGGATTTGAACTCATGACCTCCTGAAGCACTCTTAACGGCTGAGCCATCTCGCCAGCCCTGCTTTCAACATTGTCTTCCAAGCTCCTACAGAACATCCCACTGAGCTCTTAACATCCCAATGGCTCTTCTAGCCCAAAGTTCTGAGAAGTCCTTCCACAATCCTCCCTAAAACGTGGCTCAGGTTGTCACAGCAACACCCCACTATTCTAAGATACCAATGTGTCTTAGGGTTTCTATTGCAGTAACAAAACACCACATCCAAAAAACAAGTTGAGGAGGAAAGAATTTATTTGGCTTACACTTCCACATCACAGTTCATCATCTAATGAAGTCAGGACAGGAACCTGGAGGCAGGAGCTGATGCAGAGGCCATGGAGGGTGCTGCTTACTGGCCTGCTTCCTGTAGCTTGTTCAGCCTGCTTTCTCATAGAATCCAGGCCCACAGTGGTCTGCATCCTCACCTACTGGTCACTAATTGTGGAAATACTTCACAGTATGTAACATTAAAGGGTAGAAATTGCTCCTAGAAGGTGCTAGGGAGGTGGCTCTGTCAGTAAAGTGACATGAGGACATGAATTGTGTCTCTACATTAAACAACAAAAACAACCAAAAACCTACTTGCTGGCACATACTTGTTTTGGCACTGGGGAGGCAGAGACAGGAAGGTCCCTGGGCTTCCCTGCCACATAAACCATCCCAACCGGCGAGTTCCCAGGCAAGCGAGACACTCCGTCTCAACCAAAGATGGTGTCTGGAGAATGACACCTGAAGTTGACCTCTGGCCTTGTCTTAGGGTTTTACTGCTGTGAACAGACACCATGACCAAGGCAACTCTTATAAGGACAACACTTAATTGGGGCTAGCTTACAGGTTCAGAAGTTCAGTCCATTATCATCAAGGCAAGAAGAACATGACAGCGTCCAGGCAGGCATGGTGCAGGAGGAGCTGAGAGTTCTACATCTTCATCTGAAGGCTGCTACGGGAAGACTGGCTTCCAGGCAGCTAGGGTGAAGGTCTTAAAGCTCACACCCACAGTGACACACCTACTCCAACAGGACCACACCTTCTAATAGTGCCACTCCCTGGGTTGAGCACATACAAACCATCACAGGCCTCCACGTCAGGTACACACACATACACACACACACGCCCATACACATGCACCCCAAGAAGAAAATCCCAGGATGGGCTTATGGCTGGGGTGTCTTTTTTGTTGGTGGCCCCAGCAGATGGCTTGGACAGCACCTGAAGAGCCACAGGGACTTAAGGGACCCACACCTCAGAGGCTCCTCCTCTAGAAGCGTGTGAAGTCTACTTGACCTTATCCAGATGGGTTCTGGTGAGCTCAGCCACCCACACTGAGCCTGCCCCCTACCCCTTCAGAAAGGAAGAGGCACCCGCCGCCAAGGGCAAGGTTCTCTCAGGGGTCCCTTTCACAGGGACCTTACTCAAGGTACACTTGGGTCCCAGCAGCCTGTTTGGCCATCCTGGAGGACCTCATGCTCACTCTGCCCCTGTGGGGCAGTGACTAGAAATAAAAGACTAGAAATTAAAGAGATAAAGAGCTCTCATGCCAGGAGTGGGGGTCAGCAGTGTGGCAGGCATTGGGATGGAGCCCCTGAACCATGGTACACACTTCTCAAGAGCACAGAGTGTTTAAAAGCTGTATCAGGGGCTGGAGAGATGGCTCAGCGGTTAAGAGCACTGACTGCTCTTCCAGAGGTCCTGAGTTCAAATCCCAGCAACCACATGGTGGCTCACAACCAACCATAATGAGATTGGATGCTCTCTTCTGGTGTGTCTGAAGACAGCTACAGTGTACTCATATACTTTAAATAAATAAATCTTTAAAAAAAAAAAAAAAGCTGTATCAGTTTATTCAGCTCAATCCAGGGCAACTGCTTAAAAAAAAAAAATCCACACACAGGAAAGGAGTTGTTTACAGTGTCCTGCAGAAATAGTGGCACAGTCTTGAGCCCTCTGGTCTCCTGTAGTTTTTTTCAGTAGACTTTCCCGAAGGACACCAATCATGTTCTGCCTTTGAAGATTCTTAAGTAGAAACGCTTGAATTTGGAGACTGTGGTCAAGGGTATGGGGAAGCCATGTTGGGAAGGACCTTGGTGTGTCTGAGGACACTGGTCCCTCGAGCACCAGGAAGGGCTGACTCTTGGATAGATGAAATTAGGGCAAGCCTGTGCTGGCCCCAGGGGGCCCAACAGTGGTTCTAGCCACGTGGCTGCGGTTAGAACAAGATTCAAAATCAGGTTATGCCTCCTGAAACTGAACTTCCAGCCTTGAGGCTGCTGGCTTCCATCACTGTTCACAGTGAGGGCTTATCCTCCAGCTCCTGACAACGCTGTGGGATGTCCCTGTGACGCCTGTCCATGGGTGACCACATGGGCTGACACCTCTGTTCACACACAGATGGCTGTCCCATGCTCAGCACTAGGAAGACTAACGGGAGGACGTGAAGAACGGCAAGAGTCGCACATTGCACTAAGTGCCGATGCTCCACAGGCCGAGGCATCAAATGGGCTCAGAAAATGGGTAGAAAGAATGGGCCCACTGTCCAACAGGAATCCCCGTTTATTTTGTATGTGTAAATATGTACACCTGTGTGGGTGCCTGCAGAGGCCAGAGAGGGTGTTGGATCCTCTAGAACTTGAGTTACAGGCAGTTGTGAGCTGCCCTGTGTAGGTGCTGGACTGAACTCTGGTCCTCTTCAAGAGCAGTGAGCACGCCTAACTACAGGGGGCCATCTGCGGTACCCCCCTTTTTCCCCTGATACAGAGTCTGTCCAGCCCAAGCTGGCCTGGAACTCGTTACAACCTTGATCCTCCTGCCTCCACCTTCTGAATGCTTCGATTACAGATGTGCCTGACCATGTTTGGTTTATGAGGTGCTAGTTATCATGTATGCTAGGCAAACACACTGCCGACTGGGCTACATCCTCAGCCCCGCAAGCTGTTTTAGAACGTGCCCAAGAGTGGGAAGCGGCTCATTCCAAAGGTCATCCTCCCTTCTCCCTGCTCGTACACCATCTTACAGTGATTCTGATAGTAAATTATTTTTCTTATTATATTTAATTGGTTGTGGGTCAGAGGATCAGGACTGAACTCAGGTCCCCAGGCTTGGTGGCAAGTGCCTTTACCCACTTTGTCTACCCAGGATTCTAGCATTTTTTTTTTTTTCCCAAAAAAAACAAATCAAACTAGGCTGGCCTTCCTGAAAGACCCCCCCCGAAAAAACAGAGGTCTGAGACATAAGGGGTCTCAGACAGCTGTCTGCAGGGGTGGAGGTTATTGAAGGATACAGCCTTTGAAAGACAGAGGGTGTTTTCCCTGGAGTCACAGGACTAGGTGTCCTGCCTTGTCCACTGATGTTACAGTTTACAAGGCTCCTCAGGGACCTCTGAGTGTTGAAGTTTGTCCTCAGCAGTATGTTCCATTTCCAGAGATGTCGGGATGGGGGTGGGGACCTCCAGGATCCCACAGGCACCAAATCCAGACTCCAGAGAAAAGCTGTTTGTAAGAAACCGAAGTGGTGCTTGTGGAAGCCCAGGGACCATTTATATACAGAGTAAGAGACCTCAGCTGTCCCTAGGTAAAGTTACAGAAACGGGTAAGCACTGGCTCCCACATATGCTGGTGCTCTACGGCAGAGTATGCATGACAACACCAGCTGGGTGACCAGATGCCCGTAGTGACAGTGCCAAACTCATGCACAGCTGTGTAAACATGGGGCAGGGACCTGCATGGAGAGTCCTGGCAGGCCCAGCAATGGGGTGTTGATTGAGGTCTCCCCTTCTCTGCCTGGGACCAACCTCATTACAGGGAATATGTGCTTATATTAGGCTGGGGCAGGTCCGTGCCCCACCCACAGGCCTAACCACAGGGCTAACCACTTTGCAAAAACAGGAAGTCTCCCCAGTTTCTCCTCTCAATATCTAGGGGCCACAGGCAGAGGGAGCTGAGCTGGCTGGTCTCTGAGATGGTGCTCCTGCCTGGGTTGACACAGTCCATGGGGGTGGGGGAGAGGGAGGGTGGTTGGCTCAGGCCTGTGGCTAAGAGGTGGACACCTCTGCGTGGGAGTCTGCTTTGTGGTGTGTGCGCATGTGCGTGCATGTGTGTGTGTATATGTATGTGTGCGTGTGTGTATGTATG